TAACTTTTTATGGAGTTCAATTTTTCTTGTAGTTGACTAAACACCTGATAAATCCACAGAGCACTCAAAGGAGATCATCTTTCAGATAACACTGAAGATAATAAATTAAATTAGAATTAAGAAATGCTGGTATTCACTTAGAATGATTAATGATAAATATCATATTAAAGTACAGTTACTTTTCTGGAAGGCTCTAATATATCCCCAAGTCCAGATTATACAAAATGACAGCAGTAAGTATCAGTGCTCCTGAAGCACATTTCCACTTCAGTCAGATCAAAGGTGATGAATTCTAAGATGCTACATTAGCACTTGTAGTCACCACAGGTAAAATGAAGAGTTTTGCCTGTGCAAAATTATAGGCAAGCTAAAAGCTTTATACATTTTTATTTTAGAACTAACTTTATTGAAATAATTTCCACATCAAATATGCAGAGACTTAGACTTTCAGGAAAAGATTCATTTTATTATTTTTCTTGAAAATGATTCCAGCATTCACTATTTCTGCACTTCATTAAAAATACACTGTAAGAACAGAGCTGCTATTTTGATGCTTGTCTGCTAATGAAATGCTGAGGCATTCACATAGACCAGCAGCTCTGGGACTAAACATAGTGAGCTAATCACCTGCTGAGACCATCTTCAGCACTGTATCCTCTACCCACAACACATCCGCATCACAGCAGATGCTCCCAAGGCTGATTACATGGGTTCACATGAACTTATGGCAGGCAGTCAACACAAATTTTTTAAACACTTCTCTAGCATATGGAAGACCATGTTAACAATTTACTCTGCTAAGTAACAATGCAGAAACCCCCATATGCTCTATGCCAACAAGAATGATACCCAATCCTGAGAAAACGATGCTGCATTACTGACCCAGCAGAATAAAGCAGATGGAGCCTCTTCAAAGGACAGAATGCTCTTTTCTCATGACTGTGCGCTCCACAAACAGCTTGGTTTTCAGGCTTACGGTGTTGCTTCCAATCATTTACCATGTTTCCTCTGAATTTGTTCCGTATTTTGACTTTCTGATTACCAACCTTATCAAAAGTTTTTATTTCCAAGTTTCTCCACCTTGGATTCCAACCAGAATCCTCACCAACAAGTCATAAGCATTACAGTATGGGGAGACTGTCCCATTGCAACATTTGCTCTGGTTTATCCACAGTGATATTTCATGAAAGCACTAGAGAAGGACAGCAGTTTTCTCAAAACTAATTAGACCAAATCCAAGTTTCTCACCTGCGCTGAGAGCTCAGGGACACACACATAACATATATCTTCCCCCATATCACTAATCAGACATCTGATGCCAGTAAGCGATACCACTACAAGGTCATCAACCAACACTACTGCCTCCAAGTCACAACTATAGCTTGCTCTCAACAATCTCCAGATGCTCTGCAAATCTCAGCAGCTGCTAACAAAGTCATCCACAACTGGTAGGTGATAAATTATGTGAAAAAATACAGCTCTTGATACATTACTACAAGAACACTTGGCACCACCTGCAGAGAATGCTCTCGAATGGTTTGGAAACTATCATCCTGTGACTGCAAAACCAATCATTAATTTTGTTATGCAGGTCGAACATTATCCCAGATGACTGGCAGTGCTATGGCATCAAAAAATCTCACTGTAGCTCTAGATAAAGTTCTTTACCTTATCTGCACTATTCCCTATTTTATATTCCATATAAACCATGATGTTTATTAGGAGAATCAAACATTCTCAATACAAATATCACTAAGGGAGTGTTTTAGTAAGAAGGACGACCTAAGTAAGCAGAAATACTCTGAAGACTTCACAGTCACTGCACAGCTTTTAGATGTCTATCTCTAGGTGAATTATGTAACACAGAAGTTGGAGTGAATTGCAACTCAAAGTCTACAGTGATAAGATTCAAAAAAACCCTTTCGATTACCTGCTGCTTTCTCCTTGATCATTCATGGATAAAAGACACAGCAGATGTTCCTCAAACTATTAGAAAAATCTCATGGCCCTGAAAACTTTGCCAGTACATCATATCATATTTTCCGGAATCCCTCATGAGATGCCACTATTTTTATTGTATCAATTGAAATTCAAAAGAACAAATGTAGTGACCATGAAGACAATTTCAAGGTGATCAGGTTACTTAAATCAAGCCTCAGAGTATGTTACTCACATGACCATGCACAGAGAACTCATTTTTACTCCTTTCCAATTGCAAAGACCTGAGATAATCTACTCATGTTGCATACTAAAAGGATTTACAAGTTTGGTTTTGTTCATATTTGAAAGAAATAGCAGGACTGTTCCTATAGTGTACTTAATCAACATGATAAATAGTATATGAAGCTTTTGAAGGAGCTGCAACACTTAAAGAACAAATCACTATCTTAGATTACTTTAAGAAGTCTTTTTTTGATCTTGCTTAACTCTCAACTTTTAGAGACTTTCTTACAAGTCATTGTAAGAACCTACTTTTCTTTCATTTTAAAACTAATGTCAAGAGTATCCCAACTAAATAAAATGAACACATTTTTTGCCTTACATAAAAATAAGTTATTTTTTGCTGCCATACATAAGCCTTTTAGATGCATGCTTTCAAAAACAAAAATAGCTTTAATGAAAATGGTGGAATAATAGTTCTTTTTAATTCTTTCATGTGCAAACAAATCACAGCACCAAAAATCTTAGCAAGTGCCTGCCACGCAGAGATCTTGCACTCTGTTTCGGTTTCTTTCAGTCACTTAGCAAAAATTTAATGGTCACAGCATTAGATCTAACACTGTGTCACAAGCAAGAGAGCTCTATAAATGTTCTGGGGTCATAGTCTTGCTTATGGAAAGAATTTTTATGGATTTCTAGAAACAATAAAGAAATCTACAATAAAGTTTTAAAACCAGTGATTTACTTCAGCTGTAAAACCTACCAATAATCAAGTACCTTTAAGAGATAATTCCCAGATACATCTTTAAGCTATACTGGTCTTTTTGAGAACCTTCTAGTTTTCTTTCACCCTTGATTCCACACAAAGGAATGGAGAAAAACAGTGTTTCTGAGGTTTTAAATGAAAGAAAATAACCCCAACCCTCAGTCATTCTAGATGGAACAAAAAAGTGTCTTGTTAAGTTTGAAAAACGTCTGTGTAGTTGGATCTCACAAGTAAGCAGGCTTGATAATGGAGGCTGGGGCAGAGTGAGGTGGTGGAAACTATTTTAACACGAAGAGTCAGGTAAAACATCAGACTGCTACTGTCTCATATGGGTTGGAAACAGTGATAAACAAAAGGTTTACTCAAAGGCATCAAGATGCAGAACCTTCTCTGACATCCCCTCTGACTAGAAACCACCAAATAGCATCAAATAAAAAAGCCCAAAACCTAAAGTTCTTGCACAAAATCATTAGTAAAATAATTTATTTAGTTTAAACTACCTAGGGTTTTTACCCAAGATAAATACCTGAACAGTTCTGTGAACTTCTGAGGGATCACTCATATCCTCAGAGTGAATATGCTCATAATACTCTGTTGAAACAGTCTACATTGATTAAAGGCCAGTGGTGTATCACATTCTTTTTATATACTTTTCAGCAATTTGTAATTCAGCATTTAGGACGAGTAGGGGAAATGACCTTATTCAGTTAAGACTAGTATCTAGAGCTTCATCTCACTTGTAAAATGCGAAAAATACTTGAATTGCCAAATGACTGCCTATGAGTAAGATTTAACAAGGGCATTATTTTCAAAATTCTCTCTTTGTTTGCTTTTAGCAAGAATCTATTTTAAATAGCTGAACTGAAATTTGTATTCAAAAGTTTTAGTTATTAGTTGCATATTGAAAAGGTACTGCAGCTATGATCAGAAATAAACACAAAATAGAGAGAACTATGGAGACGAAATTCATCAATCTGAAAATTTACATACAACAGAAGGGTATCTATCATTGCTGGAAAGGGTTTCCTTTTTAAGTTTTCTAACTCTTAACTACATTCAATACGGAGCTTTAGAGTCATAGGCATATAATTAAAAGATATATTTCATATTCTAGTAATTCTAGTAAAGTAATTTCCAGAACAGTTTGACATCAGTTTGGATCACACTCAGAAGACTGTCCTACTCTAAACATTCATGCAGAAAGGTATACCTTTTCTAGGCCCTTTAATTAAAACCTGAAAAACATCTGTCTTTTAAATGTACAATTTTCTTCTTACTATTTTTTCTGACATCTTCTAAAATTTTTCATTGCAGTAGCCTTATTCTGCATATGAAAATAAGGCCCTATAGACAGAAAGATCTGAGGCAACTAAATGCTTTCAAAACCAGTGAAGTTACATTAAGGGTCTGACTTAAACCTACAAAACCGAAAAACATTCTTAAAGCTAAAAGGAGCAAAAGTTCAGTGGTAGTTCCTACTCAACACATTTAAATTTTAGCATTTTTAGAACATTATACTTTCACCAAAGTCTAAGCTGGAGGTATTCCAGTCAAAAGGAAAAGCCTAAGGTAATACAACAGTTATTCTTTCAGTCTCATTCTGGAGAGTCTCTTTGCCAAAAAATGAAGGACTTTCTAAAAAAACCCATGAATTCCAGTACTTAGCCCACAAGCAATTTAAATTTCCTTATGTAGTAAAAAATACGCTTCATTGTTTGTATGCATGTAAAACTGTTTAAATCCTGGCTACCTACTGAAAGAGTCATAATTGCAATTGTACATTTCAATCACATGTGGTAAAGAGCACATTCTCATGAACTCTATAGGAAACAGGTAAGTGCTGCCCTCCAGTTACAACTAAACTTTTCTCCACCGCAGAAATATACAAACACTCTGTAAAATATGTCTAGTTGTTTTACAAACACTCAGAAAACACTGTTTGCTTTTATTCATCTTCTCAAACTGCTTGCTTTTACTGATATTCTCCAAACCCTGAGTCATGAGGAATTATTGTCAACTAATACAACTAGTTAAATTTGCTTTATACTGGTCTTAGATGCTATAATGAAGTTACCTGTCATTAATGATCCAGTTCAGACACAGATTGAGGGAATTAAGGTTTTTGCATCTCTTTACTATTTCCATCACGGTTTCATTGTCCAGTTCTGTGATATGACGTAGATCCAAGCTGGAAAGATTTCTTAGCTATTGAGACAAATACAATAGAAAAAAAGAATCTGAAATTTGTTCACATACATAACTGTTATAAGAGCTACTAAACTTTTTGGAATCATGTATAATATGTGCAAGCTAGTCAAGAAAGATAAGATTACCATACTTTTCACAGAAAAGGAAATATATCAGAGATGTTCATAATACCCAACTTTAGCAAATTTGGAATTCAGGCACTCAGGTACTCTACGAAATCAATCACTCATGGTCCAATACATCTACAATAGAGGTCTAGGCCTTCCTCCTTTTAAAGTAGTGTAACGGAGTGAAAGATACCAAGGTAGCAAGATAGCAACTCATTTAATTTTAAGAAAAATAAGACAGGGAAGGAAGGAGAGACAGAACATTTGTGCATAGATTCAAATGCATGTGATTAAAGAATCCAGAGTCTAAGGCTTTCAAACTAAGTAAATAATACATACTCCTTAGAAAGTACAGTATTTATACTGTAGTCCCACCTGCACAGCCATCAGTAATATCTTGGATGTTCTACACAACAAAAGTTGGAGTCACACAACAATATGATTAAGATTTATGCATGGAGCAATTTGATTTATTACTATTGTTAATCATTATAGGCAAATTCAAAGGCAAATAAACCCCTCTTACTACTTTTCTGAGCTATGGATTCAAAGAAGAAAAATTTTACAGATTTCTGCAGTATCCTTAAACAACAGATCAGTTTAGTAGTAATAACCTCCAAGTGCTGTTTGCTTTTTGAGATGTCTGAAATAATCTCTGCTACACTCTGGAAAAATAATTGCATTAGGTAATATTGACACTTTAATTAAATTTACCTTTCCTGTAAGAGAGAAAAAATAATCCTATTCAGTGATTTAAGCCACTAAGGATTTGATTAAGTAAAGGCATACAACTGAGATCATATAATCGGTCCACTTCAGTAGTTAATTATTAAGTCAATGTATTTAAGGGAAAAGAAATAAAAGAAAAAAGAGGACTTCAAATGTAGGTGGTCTTCTACAGAAACTGGTGTTCTGGTGTTTTGTTCCAGAAGTTTTTAACATTCTCCAAACTAATGCTGAAGATAAACCACATGCTGCTTCCAAAAGTTCTGCAGAACAAGCATAATATTAAGGAACCTGACCTCCAAGAAACAACTGGCAAGTATGTCTATAGAAAGCAGAATAGCAATATTCCTATTATCACAGAATCACAGAATCGTAGTGGTTGGAAGAGACCTCAGAGATCATCGAGTCCAACTACACAAAAAAAAAAAAAAAAAAATCCACAAAAAACACAAACCACCACCCACCACCTAAACACACAACAACAACCACCAAACCAAAAACCATCACCCACCCACACAGTACCCCACCACAAACCAGTAATCTTGGGCACTAGAGCATGCCCTGAAGAATTATGTCTCCACGTTTCTTAAATACCTCCAGGGATGGTGACTCCACCACCTCCCTGGACAGCCCATTCCAATGCCTGATAACCCTTTCAGTAAAGAAATGTTTCCTAATATCCAACCTGAAATTATGAGGATACTACCACAAGTGTACTGTGGAGGTGTTTGTTGTAATCTCATTCTGATATGAATTAAATCCCAGCTCTGATATGAACTTCTGATAATCTCATTTGCCGATTAGGGACAAAAGCACATAATGACTGACAATGTGATGGTAAAATGGGCAGATTTTACAAGCACTATCTCTCTGCATTTCATACATACTGCTCTAGCAGGAAGTTTAAAAGACGTACCTTCTATGCACTCAAAAAAAGCTCACAATCAATACCTTATGTTTTCTGCATAAATTACATGGAGAATGGGAAGCTTAGGGCAACTTGAAGTTTCCTCACCTCCATATAGCTATTCACAGTGATACATCAGTTTTTGTACTATGTTGGCAATACCATGGCCAATGCCTATGACATAGGAATAAACCTACTGGACAATTCAACAATGCCTATGTTCTATCACAGTAAACAGGGAGAGGAGAGAGCTGGGGTTGTTCAGTCTGGAGAAGAGGAGGCTGAGGGAAGACCATATCACATTCTATAACTACTTGAAGGGGGGGTGTAGAGAAGTGGGGGTCAGTCTCATCTCCCAAGTCACAGGAGATAGGACAAGGGGAAATGGCCTCAAGTTGCGCCAGGGGAGGTTTAGATTGGATATTAGGAAACATTTCTTCACAGAAAGGGTTATCCAGCATTGGAATAGGCTGCCCAGGGAAGTGGTTGAGGCACCATCCCTGGTGTTCAAAAGACGGGTTGACATGGTCCTCAAGAATATCGTTTAGTGACTTTTTTATTGCTTATTTCTTATTTATTTTTTGTCAAAGTTAGGTTGATGGTTGGACTAGATGTTCTTTAAGGTCCATTCCAACCTAGATGATTCTATGATTCTAAACAAACATTTACTAGTAGACCTGAAAGACAAGTAGAAAATCTTCTCATTAAAAAGACAGAATTCTTATACTAAAACATGCTTTCACAACAACATATTCTTATGAGCAGGTGACAATACTGGTGATTCTTTTGTCATTATTATTACTTACAGAGTAAGAACCATAAACTTACACTAAAGATCAATCAATGCATAGAGATCAGTATATAAGTATCTAAGAAACATGGGTTCAAATTAGGTAAGAAAGAATTTGTTATTTCTCAGGAAAAAGATATTTGCATTGCATTGCTAGACTCAAGAACTAAACCAAATTCTTAGTATCCCTATTGACCAAATTAATAGGGTTTCCAAGGTAGATTTTATCCTTTCCCATCACATGAGAATGATCATGTTCTTCATTGTTTCTGTTCTTCATACCAATAATGGTTTATCATTATATTCAATATACAGTAACTCAACCATAACTTGCCTTTTTTACTGTCATGTTCATTCATTTTAAACAGCCTACCTGATACCTGACCTACTTAGTAGGTTAATTCTTCTTTTAACAGGCAGAATGTACTTGATCCAGAAAACCTTATTGTCTTCGAAGTTTGAAGACACTGCTTCAGATTGATACAAACTCTTCAAGTACAATTTGATCTGTACAATCTCACTATTGCCATTTCAGATAAGTGAGTGACTTTCAAGAGCTGCAGAACTCCTACATTCCTTTAAGTACTGGACTTTCTGACGTGATTTTTTATTGATCCGAACATGACAGGTGAAAAAAATACCCCTTTGCCTATTTAAATCAGAGGTACCAACAACCTTGTTGCTGGGCAGAGAATTGTTATAAATGTGTATCTAACCATTTTTCATTTAAAAACGGGATGGATACTTGAAATGACAAATGTCCTATTTTATATTTTACTTGAAAAAGTAATTTTAAGGAGTCAGTGTTATAATGCTGAATTCTTTAATAATCACTAGTATTATTTAAAAAATGGCAAGAAAAATTATGTAAGTTTTATATTCTACCTCTAACCCTCACATCTAAAAGTACTACAATATAAAAAAAAAATCAAACTTCTCTGAAGCAGACAATTGGACAGTTGGGACGTTCAAATCTTCAGTGCATGCATAAATCTCGAGATTAAAATAGCATACCTATAATTAGCATTTTTCCACAGAAAAAGGATATTCTGATACTTTAATATTCAATCTTAGGGCACCCGGATGTATAAAGTTTTTCCTTTAGCTTTTTTTAATCAAAACCAACTTTCTTCATGCAGTGATACCACTTCATTGAGCAATTTCAGGGGCAATCCTTTACAGATATTCACAATTTCTTCAACTCTTAATTTTATAGCTCTACAAAGAATACTCAGCATGAGCAGAATTTAAACTTTGAAATCATCTCAAGCAGACAAAATGTTTCAACTGAAAAAGGAATATTTAATGTGACAATAAAACAGATAATGCAAATAGCAGACAGAGGGCTTAAAATATGAAATAGAAAATAAAAGAATTAAGAGAGAGCAAGAACAGCTAAACTAATCTTGTGTGCTACAAAGATACAGAAGCTTGCTGAAATTACTGAGTATTGACTCAGTGTTAAAATTGTATGAGATAGTATAATAATAATAGCATTTAAATTTCAGAGGGAGTCTAGTTAGATTAATTAGATTAGAAGGAAACAGGATGTTGGTCCCTTCCTCTCAGTCCTACTAACACAGAGAATTGACAGCCCAGTATCTAAAGGTTTTGTGAGGAGATTGCCTGTTAAATTGTACTGAAAGGGAATTATTCCACTGTGAATGACAGATGCAAAACAATCACTTAGACCACAAAATGGTATTGGACAAAGGAAGTTTGAAAAACAGAGATTCAGGTCTTTAAAAAAATATAATAATTTTTTAAAAACTAGATACTACTATTTTTATGAAATTGCCTACTACTTTTAGATTTCAAGTATTTTAAATTATGATAAAATCATTTTTGTTCAATACTGTTGTTGGCTGGTTTAAATGAAATTTTGGGAAGGTTGATATATTTAAAGATTCAGAGATTATCATACTATTTGTGTGCCTGAATGTTACGGAGTTTGTAAGACTTCTATCTTGATTACTGCAACTTAGAATATTAAAACACACACAAGTGAATCAAGAAGTTAGAGCATTTGAAAACTATCATAACAACAACAACAGAGGTAGAAAATATGCCTGATTTGAGACTGTTAAAGCTCAGGATAAATTTTATATCCTTCAGATGACAAAAAATTCCTATTACCATTGGGATCACAGGTAATTTTTTAGTGTGGATGAATCAACTCCTGTGAATATTTAGCTGCTATTGTAGGGGACTACTAATGAGTATGCAATTCTTTTTCCCTTTTTTTTTTTTCTTTTGTTCTTCACATGTTTCCACAATTTCTGTAGAGATATATTTCCTTAAAAATCTTAGAATAGCATAGAATAATTTAGGTTGGAAGAGACCTTTAAGATGAAGTCCTACCATTAAACTAAACTGCCAAGTCCACCACTAAACAATTCATATAAGATAAATCCTCTTCAGATGTAAAGCCAAATTATTTCTGAAGGAAAGTGCTTACAAGGACTTA